TTGGGTGAGGAGCGGCACAATGCTCTCCGATAATAATAAAATGGCGGCCGACAAAGCCGACTACACCTCGTCCCGTACGGGAGCGCAGAGATCCGTTGAGCCCGCGTCACCTGAGCTGGCGGAGGAGGCATTGGTGCACGTCGGGCTTCTGGGCTCGCGAGCCGTGTCCGCACTGTCATGTTGCTGGTTCTCCTGGCCGGAGCTACCAAGGGCTAGTTGTGCCAGCAAACGGTGCTGTAAATACTTTTACTAAGTTTCCTTTCGGATTCAAGCCGCGCTGAGAAGGCTCGCCGCGGAGGGCTTGGCAAGGCATTGCCTTGACAGTGTCGATAGTAAGGTCAGACATACTGGAGAAATACAGTGTCGAGGTAACACTCGGGCTGGCAGCAAAGCTACGAAAGGAAAAGAAACACTGCTGAAGCACGATCCGTTGTCTGGAAGAGCACAACAGGGCAAGCAAGATTTGTTTTTTCTTTTCCGCAAAATGGGCTGGTGCCATTTGTGATTACGCAGCAAAACAAAGCGCATGACGTCAGTCTTGAATGCAGTACAAAGCAATGCAGTGCAGTGTGTGCGCTAGTTCGGATTGTTGCTAACAAGTACTAGCACAGCTAGTACACCAATAGCCATGAACTTTGTCTTGGCCATGTTAACCTTGAGCCCAAAGGCAGAAGCAGTAGTCTCAAACCCAGCGAGTGCTCTCTCTGCACCAGGGTGAGTCTTGGCAAGAAGTGCAGAGTCGTCCGCAAACTGGCATTCCGTTAGTGGAGCCCTGGTGTATGCTCGGAGACGCGTGTTGAACAGTCTGTCCTGACGAAACTGACAAATTGATAGTCCAATCTCGTCGTCACCAGCTATTGCCTCATGCCATTTCTCGACAACAGCAAGCATGTACAATTTGAAAAGAATCGGGGCCATGGTGCATCCCTGACGCAGTCCGTTCCCCACCGCAATCGGCTCCAACAGCTCGCCACCAATGCGTATAGATGCCGACATGTCGACATGGAACGATCGAATTACGGAAACCAGCACCTCTGGTACGCCAAGCTTTGCAAGCACCCTCCACAAGGCGGCCCGCGGCACCGAGTCATAGGCCTTTCGGAGGTCAATGAATACTGCGAATCCCTTGGAAGAATGCTCATGCAACTTCTCCGCGACTTGCCGAACAGAGAATACCATATCCGAGCCGCCCCTGCCTCTGCGAAAACCGCACTGAGAATCAGGCAGATACTGTTCCCCAACACGCTGCAGACGGTCCGCTATAAGCCGTGCAGCAAGCTTGCCAACCACGTCGAGAAGGGCAATCCCGCGCCAGTTATCAGTCAGACTCAGATCACCCTTCTTGGGGATAGGGATCAGGATGGCATCCACCCAATCCTGCGGTACTCGACCAGCTCGCCATACCTCCTCCAGCAATGCCTGCAGCTTACCCAGTAGAACAGGACCACCATACTTCAGCATCTCGGCAAAGACTTCAGAGCTACCACAAGCTTTGCCGTTCTTCAGTGCTTGCATGGCCTTACGAATCTCCACACGGTCGGGAACATCCGCAAGCTCCCCCAAGACCGGACGCTGGTCCATAGAGTCGAGGGTTTCCACGTCAAAGTCGCTGACGATATTGAGAACTCTCCCAAAGTGCTCCCGCCACCGCATGTTCGTGGCCTCGGGGGTGTCACAAACCTGTCCCATTGAATTCTTGATCGCTGTTGTGACCTTCGGTTTTAGTCCCTGAAACGCAGCCTGGATGTGTCTGATGCACTCCCAGCCACCCTTGGACGTGAGGCTGAAACGTTTGCAATCCTGGGCCTTGTTGAGTAGCCATTCCTGCTTGACGCGTCTGACTTCCCTCCGCGCGGAGCTGCGGGCACACTTATAGGCATTGCAATCACTGACTTTGCGTGTAGACACCCAAACAGCAAACAGCCGATCCCTCTCCAGTAGGAAAGGTTCAAGCTCTGCCTGACTATCCCGAAACCACTCCGGCTGTCTACGGCTCTCTCTGCCCAAGCAATCCTCTGCAACCTTGATAGTTGTTGTCTTGATGATAGTCCACCAGTCATCCAAGGATGGCTCATGCGACCAGGCTCCCTCCAACTCTGCATCCAGCATGTCGCGAAAGACCCTACGAGTGTCCGGTTCGTCATCTCCGCCAGGCTTGCACAACAGCTTGGACACAGCAATGGGTTTTCTGATGACAGCACGGGTACGATGGAAACAGGGATTCTCTGCCAGGCGCAATTTCATAGCCAAGAATTTATGATCGGTATCACATTCCGCAGACCGGATGACTTGGCAATCAATACACTGGGAGCGTCGGCTCTGAGGAATGATGCAGTAGTCAATGCAGTGAGGCTGTTTGTATCGAGGATGAAACCAGGTATGCTTATGAACATCATTCTTCCGAAACCACGTGTTACATATGAGGGCACCATTTCTGGACAAGAAATTGAGCAAATCCTCTCCAGCTGAGTTCATTCGACCAAAACCATGAGGGCCTCTGACACTTGACCAGTCACCATCCGCACCAGCACTGCCAACACGGGCGTTGAAGTCACCAAGAAGGACGAATTGATCGTTCCTGGGAATACTGTCAATGAAGGACTGGACATCTGCGTAGAATTGAGTTTTCTCCTCACGGGGCCTGACAAACGTGGGGGCATACGCCACAGCGAAGTGCAGGCAAGACACAGACCGATTCCGACCACATACGAATTTTACCTGCAATGATAGGAGTCTGGAGCCGACCGCCGTCCAGCGAGAGCCTCCGCGTTCAAATGCCTCCCTGCATCTGCCTCGCAAAACGACAGCAACCCCCTCATCACGACGAGCAGGCTCATCCCCAGTCGGTGTTGGGCGACCACTTGTCAAAACTAAGCAATCTCCGACAGTATATTGATGAGAGCCAAACCAAAGCGTCTCCTGGAGGCCAACGATGTCCATTCCATACTTTTTGAGCTGACGACACACAAGGTCAATTTTTCTCTCCTCGCGAATATTCGAACAAACTTTCCTTGATTTTTTTGCTTTGGACGCCGTATTCAAATTTCCGTCAGTGTCGACAAGAGTCCTGACGTTCCACGTTCCCAGAGACAGAACAACCTTTCGAGCCGCTGGTGCACGCGAGTGGAAAGACTCTGGGCGAGGGTTTGCAAGACCTCTACACCCAGGCGAAAGAGGGTCAGCGCGAGTGGTCACATCCGAAGTGGCCATGTCGTCAACGCTGAATTTTCCTCCTCCGCGGCAGCAAGATGAAGACTGCCTTGTCTAACACCGCGTCACTAAGTGTTTTCTACTCACCAGGGCTGGCCCTGGCAGAAGCCAGGAGCCAGCCCGTGGCCCTAAACTCACTACGAAGAAAGAAGAGTTCGGAGGAGTTCACACACACACACACACACACACACACACACACACACACACACACACAAACACACACACACACACACACACAAACACACAAACACACACACCATGTACAATGCATACGCCCGTCGCAAGAGAAGCACGCAAATCTGCAAATGCACTGGATGTGCACCCACAGATTTTCTCTTTATAGCAACGATAGCGGATCTGATTCTGATTGAAACAGATCAAGACAAGCGCCAGATAACTGTCTAATCCACACAACTGGCGAAGCCAGGTGAATCGACCCCCCAATGCACACCTGGTCTACACCACACGGAGTACATCGGAATAGGACGGCCAAGACAGTTACCTATGCACACCCTACACTTGCTGGGGTAACCAGTATAGACAGCACGCTGCTTTGATCAAAGCAGACACTAGATGCACTGGTACCTTGAAGTGAAATTGGAGTTATTTTACCAACCAGCCTCGGCAACTGGGTACTGGGAACCCAGGGCCAACAGACGTACCAACAAACTCAGCCATGAAAGCTATAATAGTAACGACACACTGGATTGTGGAGCCGAAACTAGTCCAACTTCCAAAATGCTTTGGCAAGACGGGGTAGCCTTCCGACACAATTTCGATTGAGGTGCCTGGTTTCTCTATCGAAATCACCGAAATTAAAGTTGCACCGAAATTTTCATGTTTTTCAGTATCCGTTTATTACTACAGTCAGACCTCGCATAACCGCACACATCCGATTTCCAGAAAAAAACGGATAGGCAAGGGAACCGGATAATCGAGCACACATACTGGGTGTGTGTGTGTATGTGTGTGTGTGTGTGTGTGTGTGTGTGTGTGTGTGTGTGTGTGTGTGTGTGTGTGTGTGTGTGTGTGTGTGTGTGTGTGTGTGTGTGTGTGTGTGTGTGTGTGTGTGAAGGAGGGGGGGGGGTTAAATACAGAACATTATAAGTTGCCATGCATGGCAGGGTAAGTGGAGATAGCAACCCATCATTATTCTTACCATAGGGCAATACATGTACAGCCAAACCTCGTAAGGACGATTTGAAGTGACTGAACACATTTGTTTGTCTTATCAGGAGTTTTTCTTATCCAGATCTGACAAAAAAATCGATATGCATATCATATGGGTTGTATTTACGTGAAGGTGCATACTGTGGTAAATGGGAAGCATTTATTCTCAGCATACGCCAGAAATAGGTAAGCGCAGTGTGCTAGAATTCGTGACTGTGCTTCCATATACAAACAAATACATTACGATAAAACCATGGATGGAATATGAGGGATTACGGGTGTGCATGTGAAGCACAGCATCTCAACATCCGAGTTTCATACTGCGTCCACAAGAAGTCCTTTTTATATTGCATCACACACAAAAATTGTCAGCACCCTCTGCGCGTACATCTTGGCTATCAGTAGGGAAAATCCCAGCTCTCTGCGGTGAACCAGTCCAGCGCTGTACGTCCAAACGGTAAAGGGTAAAATAAATGTCAGGTTAAATGCCCTGTTGCATGCCGCCCGCATCGAGGGCGAGCGCCACGCATAAATGCCACGTTGAGTGTCATGTTCAATGTCAGGTAGATTGCCACGTTGGGTACCACGCGTGCATGCACCATGTTGTTTGGACGACATGGTCACCGTGACGTGTGGTGCACACAACCATAGGCAGAAGCAAAGCATGAGCATGTAGCAACAGCACTCTCAAACACAGCAGCATAGTTCGAGCGGTAGAACGAAGCTGCGTGCACCCATAATGCTACACACACAAGCAACCCGCAGCAGAATGTTGACAATAGATTTGGTCTCGGAACATCTCCTCCCACCACCCCCCCCCCCCCCCCCTCCCCCCTACCCTCCTCCCACCCCTCACCTTCCCTTAAAGAACTCAGACACCAACTGATAACTTACGTGAGATCTGGAAGAACACTTTCTGAGTATATGCAGACGAGGAACTGTATTTCGATGCGAGACTAAGCATGCGGAAATAGAAGCGCCCTGTTGTTCTGACATTTGTTAGTGTTACGGTGCTGGTGGACGTGGTGATCGACGTGCTGGCGCCTTTAAATAGACCAATCTGCACGCTCAGTTTGGCCGTGGGGTTAACCGTCGGCAAAGACAGGGTGACCGCTGCTCGTTTAGTGTCGTATGCAGCAAACGGGAACATTGGCCAGGTGTACACAGGGTAGCCTGTAGGGAAAGGAGACGAGATCATGATGAGAGGAATTATCATCGCGTACGGATTTTGGGGATACGATTATCGGTACCATATTTCCCATGACATTTTATAAGTCACTCTACCCTTTTTGTGGGCCATGTGTTTCGGAATAGTCGCGTTGCTAGGATGTCATACTTGATTATAAGGCCACCCCCTTCTGCGTCCAAGAAGTTTAGTGTAAAAAGGTGCCACTTATATTCGCGGAATTTGGTACGTCATGAGTGGCTACAAGTTTCCGCTCGTGCAGATAGGCGTGCCTACTGAGCTTACGTACGTACATGTGTACATCACATGCAAGCAAATACTATCAGTGCGCACTTGCCCATACACACACGGACACACACGAACAGACATCTGCACACGCACACACACGAACAGACATATGCACACACACACACACACACACACACACACACCAACACACACACACACACACACACACCTTGAACCTTGAACTTGCCCATTGCCGTGGGCAATGATAGCGAAAGGACCAATTCGGCGGCACACACACACACACACACACACACACACACACACACACACACACACACACCTTGACCTTGACCTTTGACGCCCATCGCCGGAGGCGATGATAGCAATGCTACGGCAGAAGCCATAGCAACTTGTGCTGGGATTACACCATTCAACAGCTTGCAAGGCTGAAGAATTGACCGTCACTATTCAGCCTGGTCTACACCATACAGCTATTTGGAGTGACATTTTCTGGCCAGACACACACACATACACACTCACACACGCACACATACTCATACGAACACAAACAGCCCCTCTTTCTCTCATGCATTCACCTGGACACAAACACTCGTAAATGACAAGCAAGGTCGACCACATTCTCTTTTGGAGGAGACAAAACAACATTGAATTAGCACATACGGCAGATTTAAATGCAAAAGCGTAAAGTGTATTTTCAGTAAGGAAATGGATTTCCAGGAAAGCATGTGGCTTTTCCAACCATGATATTGTGTGCCATGATAATGACAGTACTAGTCTGTTAAAAAAATCACGTTTCATGTGTCTTCCCAAGGCCACTGCACCGAGCGGAATCCTGTTTTGACCGGACAATTTCTGTGCACCAAAGTGCTGTGGATCGAACGTGCATCCCTGGATCAAGCGAAATCCTGTCATATCAGGACAATTTCTGCTGCACCGATGGCGTCCGGTCAGCGCAGGTTGTACTCTGCATGATCTCACTTATACTCCAACACATGTCAAGTTCAGGTACACCTAGTGCAATGCAACGTTGGTCGTTGTAGGCAAGTGATGTTGTGGACATCAAAAAGCCAATACAGACCGCGACAGAAATCCCTACAGTGAACAGGGCTGTGCTCATTTTTAAACTGCTTTAAAAATGCTATGGGAAAGGAAATGGACCAAGGAACTACAAGTTACGCTATACTGTCCACTAACACCACTGATGACTTGTAGTTCCCCCGTCCTTTTCTTTCCCATAAAATCATCCTTGGCTCTCCATCCGAGGCATTTAAAATTAAATCTGATTTCATCAGTCCGGTTCGCGCCCTAACCGGGGACAAAACTCGATATTCCCCGACCTTGGTCTGCATAGCGCCCGGCATGACATTGACTTGCATAATCGGATATAATGGAGCAGCACTGGATGACACTTCTAAAAGAACTATGATGACAACTTTTGACCAGTCCATTAAGAAACCTTGTTCAGCCAACAATAAATGATAAAAATGCATGGTTCTCTTGAGACTAAGGTTGCGTTCTTAAATCCCCTCGGAAAGGTTGGAGACTGTCCGAAAAGTTCGAGAGCTGTTCTTATATCCTCTCCGACTTTTAGGAGGCTCTCCAAAGCTCTCCAAGCTGGTTGAAACTTGGAGATTCCCGCGGTTTGGGATCAGCGCATGCGGACTACCACTAAAAGCCACGTGTTCATCATGAGAGTACGCATTTCCCTTTCCGCATACGCACACATACAAACTACATGTCATCACTCAAGATCGCGGCCCTTTGACGCTTCATTTTGCTTGACATGTGCAAAATATCTCCGAATTCTTCGAGACCCGTTCTTGAGTAATCCCAGTTTCTTCGACTTCTCTTTTCTTCTTCTTCCTCTAGAAGCTAGAGAATATAAGAACGCACCCTAAGTTAGACTGAGTTTTCAGCATCCGGAAAAACTGGACACCACACAAAGGTATATTATCACAGGGATTGCTACAAATTTTTGACTTGTCCGTTAACTCAAGCACAGCCACTTACACGCTTAGAAGTTTTCCATTTCACAAACCCTTTCCACTCTGATGCTGAGCCTGGTCGAAAATCTGGTGAATGCCTGAAAGTCTGTGTTCACAGTAAAGAGGCTGGTCACGAGATGATAAAGTACTGAATTCGAGCAAGAGTACATAACACCCAATAATGTGCAACTCCAGCCATGGGGTGCAGGGCGGCAGAACTTCACATCACCTGATGAAACCCGCACACATTTGTACCCTGTGCATGACAGATGCAGGGTCGTACGCAACCCTGCTTTGCGTTCAACTCGCTTGTGGTCACTTTGCACTGCTTGCCAGCGTAACGTTTTGGACCGTGCCAAGTGAAGTGAAGTTCTGTCATCGCAGCACCCTATAGAGGTTGCGCAGGCAGTTGCACACTCTTGGGGGTTATGTACTCTTGATGGGAGTGGCAAGCTCAAGTTTTAGGGTACAGCCTGACGGGGTCTCACCTGTTGGTGGGGTGCCGGTGGTGGTGAGTGAAATTGTGTAGCACTCCGGGACGTACATATTGATGCGCGATCGGAAATACGTGCCCTGGTGTCCGACCTTCATCAAAATGCGGATTGGATCCTGGAAGAGGTCGACCGTGAAGTTATGCGTTTCAAACCACTCGCCTGCCACCTGGTCGTAGTACTCCACATCTGCTTCCAAACTTTGGATGGTATGCTGCATGGATATGCTGGTCTGGTTGGGAGTATGCACCATAACATCTGTAGTAGGCGACAGATAGGGGCCGGGAATGGGTGAAAGGATAGGTAGATACAGGATAGGACAAATCGTTAAATCATTAGAATTAAATGCTCATTACTGGTCTTACAGTATGCGTTTGGTATGGCCGGTGCAAAGCTACGGCGGCAGACAAATGCCCAGCCATGATACAGACTGACAGTACACGAGCACACAGTAAGCTTGTATTTATGAGCAGACGTGGGCGCACTTGGCTCACTGCCTCATCAAGCCAAGATGCCTACAGTTCTCCCTTTGGGGATTGCTTTCACTAGAACGATGGATTAAGAGTATTGATAGGGTAAGAATTGGCGACCAGAAACACCCCAAGGTTGTCAAACAGCTCTGATTGCCAGCACAGAAAGGAGCAAAGAGCAATAACAGCAAGAGCTGGAAGTATAGCAAAACCTATCAAGGCGACCACTTTGATAAGGCGACCACCTGTCCCAGGAGACCACTACAACCAGGACCAATGGAGGTTATTTCCAGTCCAATGACCCTTGAAAAGAAGACCCCCTGTACACAGGGACCACATTTGCAAGGTCCCTTGAGCCGGCACCTTAGAAAGGTTTCAATGTAATGCATATGCTCCAAAACAGCCTCATACCGACTTGCAGGGTAACAGAATGCATCATATAATTATTATGTTGGCCAAGAGAAAACCCCATCGCAGGTACATGCGAGCTGGTGGATTGCTAACTCCGGTCACCCTGCCACGCAAGGACTTATATTTGGGAAAACAAACACACATGCACGCATGCACACACATTCACACACACACACGCACACACGCACACACACACAATACATTATGCCCATTCGGAGATGATGGCAGATCCCGAAGGAACCAACAGTGTTCAAGTCACGAGCAGAATCGGGCCTGGCGAGTCAAGTCCAGGCAACGGCGATAGCGTTTTCCACAAGTGCAAACGAAGTCTAAGGTGACAGGCTCGGTCGGAGGAGTGGTGGTGCATGCTGATCCCCACTCTCTGCTGTCCTCGGCGAGGTCGTACCAGTCCACTATCTGGCGCTCCTTCATGTCGGACACAACATTGTTCCATCCCCGCTTTCGGGGGCCATGACATGGACGGGTCTTGTCCAGTTCGCCGAAGAGGATACACTTTGGCATACGGGAGTCATCCATTCGAGCAACATGGCCTAACCAGCGGTGTCGACGCATTTACACCACTTTTGGGCCAGATGACTGCTGAGATCTCGGCTTGTTTGGCGAAAGCTTCCCGAGCATTTGGCACATTGCGCTCATCTGTCTTTTTCAATCGTGATCTCTCCATCAAGACGAAGGTGCACGTATATTCGGCCGTTGTCTTGTCGACGCTGCTGTATGGTTGTGAGACCTGGGCAACTAAGGCCGTGGATGTTCGTCGGCTTGCAGCCTTTCATCATCGCTGCGTTCGCTTCCTGCTGGATATTCCCAGAGACACACAATGGAAGGAGCACATCTCCAACACCACTCTCCTTGAACGAGCCAAGATACAGCCGATCGAGGAGGCACTGAAAACGCGTCGACACCCCCCCCCACCAACCCCCCCCCCCCACCCACACACACACACACACACACCTGGCCTGGTGTACAGCTGCCAAATGCTTGGCCATGCCGCCCCCGAGACATGGGAGAGTAGAACACACACACACCCACACATGATGTTTAACAAGTAGAATAGTAAAATACGCTGTCTTACATTGGCATGTGGTTCCGTTACCACACATCAGTCCCCCCGTACACCTTGGATTACAGGTGTCTGGACAAGAAAACACCAAGATGGAGTGAAAACATGTGTCTGTGGTGCATACCATATTTCTCCGATCGTAAGTCACACTCGATTGTAAGTCACACTGACTTACGATCGAGTGTAAGTCACACTCGATCGTAAGTCACACTCGATTGTAAGTCGCACTCGATTGTAAGTCACACTCCATTGTAAGTCACACTCGATTGTAAGTCACAATCGATTGTAAGTCGCACTAGATCGTAAGTCACACTCGATTGTAAGTCACACTCGATTGTAAGTCACACTCGATTGTGAGTCACACTCGATTGTAAGTCACACTCGATTGTAAGTCACACTCGAAGGTGAGACAATGTTGGCTTGATGTCACCAAACTAGTTCCTGTTGTCTAGTAGTAGTGGTGTGCATGAGAACATAACATGGCGCAGTGAAGTTTCGTACCTGTGTTTTTCTTGCCCGTGGTGCATCCCGGTTGTGTTCGCACGAGGCCTGCAGGTCCAATTAAATATTATTTATTTCTCTAGTCGTGACCGTCTTCCGAAATGTCAGATGCAGCTGCACCAAGTGTGCCGAGCGCAGATATCGCTGCTCTTGCCGATCTCTTCAAAAAGCAGATGGAGGCAGCCAATGAGCGAGAGAAGCGTCTCGATGCAATTATCACTGGTCTTACTCAACAGAGTCAGCCTCGCTCGCCGCCAGCACCGCCAGCTCCAAAGCCTGTCGCGGCGGAGCGACCCATGCTGCTGTCCTCCGCGTCCCTGTCAGAGTTTGCTGCCTGGCAGGAACTGTGGGAAGACTTCTCTCGGTGCCAGCACCTGACAGCACAGTCAAAGGAAACCAGGGTATCTGCCATCCGTCAGTGCCTGGACGAAGACCTCAGACGTTTTATCAGGGAGGGCACCATTGTCATCGCGACCAATCCTGATGCATGTGACGTCTTGGAGGCGGTCAAGCAGTTTCTTCGCCGACAAAGAAACCCGATACTTGATCGAATTGAATTTTATAAGCGCACGCAACAGAAAGGGGAAATGTTTGATGGGTTCCACACTTCCCTGAAGGAGTTGTTTAACACGTGTGATTTTGTGGAACACGAGCTCTGTTCTGCCTGTTTGGCACGTGCCTGTTCTACGTGCAAGACTAATCTTGCACGGGTCCACGCGGACATGATGCGAGACCGCATTGTGATCGGTATCCTGGACGACACCACCCGTCACAAACTGTTGTCCACCTCCGACGTGACATTGGAGGCGACAGTCAAGGTGTGTCGTGCAGAAGAGGCAGCCACACAGACCAGCCACCACATCCCTACCGCCGGCCAAGTCAATGCTGCCAGGAAGTCGTCTTATCAGCGCGCGAAGTTAGCTTCACAGCCCCCAGTTGAGGCGAAGCACACTTCTGCTCGTGATAAGTGCCGTAACTGCGGATGCACAGCGCACACGAAATCGCCATGTCCCGCGATCAACAAAGTGTGCCTCAACTGTAATGGAACGGGTCACTTCCGGGCAATGTGCCGCAGGCCTGCCAAGAAGCCGGACAAGTCGTCCAAGATCGCACACTTGCGACTCAACCGAGCATCTCTGTTGGACGACGCAACAGTTTCCGTTGCTACCCAGCTTGTGACCGAGCCAGAGCCCGTTGCTCTTAGTTGGCTCCCGGATACTGGTAGCGACGTTGATGCCATCGGCACTCAACACCTTGACCAGTTAGGCGGATTTGTCGAGAACCTGCTTGACGACATCGACGATGTTCGTACCGCAGATGGCGCCAGTCTCACCCCTGTTGGCAAGATTTCGGCGACTCTCAGTTGTGGACCAAACCAGCACACGTCCACCATTCATGTCTATGATGGTTTGACTGATGCCCTCCTATCCCGTTCATCCTTGCACGCCCTGGGATACTTGCCGTCCGGCTGGCCGAAGCAAATCGCAGCAGTCCAACAGGTAGTCCCATCGGTCGTTCCCAATGCACCTGCGGACAAGGTTGTGTCCAAAGCCACCGACTCAGAGACGATGAGAGCCGAACTCCTAGCTGAATTCGCTGACGTCTTTGATGACTCTGTGTTGAAGCCGATGCTTGGTGGACCTATGGAAATTAGAGTGCGAGCTGATGCTAAGCCTGTCGCTGCATATCATGCCCGCCAGATCCCGCATGCGTACCGTGACCAAGTGAAGTCCCAGCTGGATGACATGGTCCGGGATGCCATCATCGAGGAGGTCACCGAACCCAGTGCGTGGTGTCACCCGATTGTCATCGTGGACAAGAAGGGGACAAACGAGAAGAGGCTCACCGTTGATTTCAAAAAGCTCAACGACCAAGTCGAACGCCCTGCTCACCCCGCACCAAGCCCTCGTGACGCTGTATCCAGCGTTGGCAATGCAAGATATATCACCAAGCTAGACGCCCGCCACGGCTATTGGCAAGTTCCTCTGAGCGAGGCCTCCCGTCCGTTGACCACATTCATGACACCTTGGGGCCGGTACAGGTACCTACGCAACCCACAAGGATTGGTCTCTGCCGGATACGAGTTTAATCGCCGCACCGACGCCGCATTCGCTCATATCTCCCAGTTCCAGAAGGTCGTTGATGACTGCCTCGTCTACGATAATGACCTGCCCACCCACCGATCTCACGTCCGAGATGTCCTGCTCTGCGCCCGGGAGAATGGCATTACTCTGAGCGCCAAGAAGTTTGTGTTCGGTATGCCAGCCGTGGAGTTCTGTGGTTACCGCATCAGTGCTGATGGCTGGACCGTCGATGATGCCAAGGTCAAAGCTATCAGCCAGTTTCCAGCTCCCAGCAACCGCACTGATCTCCGATCGTTTATGGGTCTTATCAACCAGTGTGGTGAGTTCACCCCGCACCTGTCTGAGCACGCCGCCCCGTTGCGCCCATTGCTCAAGACGTCCAACGAGTTTGTATGGGACTCAGTTCACACAGACGCAGTCAACGCTGCCAAGGCTGAGCTGTTGTCACCATTAACGCTGTCATTCTTCCAACGTGACCAGCCACTCCGCCTAGAGACAGATGCATCTGCTTTGCATGGCCTTGGCTACGTTCTGTGGCAGTTGCAAGATGGCAAGTGGCGCATTCTCCAGTGTGGCAGTCGATTTCTGTCGGATCCAGAATCCCGGTATCCTGTCATCGAACTGGAGCTCCTAGCTGTCGTCTGGGAGGTGAAGAAATGTTCTCTCTACCTCGCCGGTACATTGTTTGAGCTTGTCACCGACCACCGGCCCCTCACACCAATCATTAACTCGTACTCGCTCGATCAGATTGAGAATCCCCGGCTCCAACGCCTGTTCATGAAGCTTCGTCCATATCAGCTGCATGCCACTTGGCGTAAGGGTACTGACAACGCTTTCGCCGACGCGCTGTCCTGCAATCCGGTGGATGATCCCACCCCTGACGATGAGCTCGGTGAACACCCAGCCCTTCGTACTCCTGCCATACGCGCTTGCATTCGGAAAGACACCGAAGGCCAGATTGCCAATCTCCGGTTTGCCGAATTGCAAGAAGCCGCTCGAGCTGACTCGGATTATCAGGCACTCCTCACCACCGTCCGGAACGACAAACGCGACTTATGTCCTGCTGCCCAGCCGTATTGGACAGTCCGTCATCATCTTACGGTCGACCAGGACCTGGTACTGAAAGGTCCTCGCATTGTGGTACCGCGTTCCCTCAGGCGTAGTGTGCTTGACGACTTGCATGCTGCTCATCAAGGTCTCAACCGTACCAAGGCTCGTGCTCGCCAGGTGGTGTATTGGCCCCAGCTGTCCAACGACATTGACAATATCGTTCGCAGCTGCGCTGAATGCCGTCACCATGCACCTTCCCAGGTGAAGGAACCTATGCTGGCAACTGAGGATCGTTGTCCTGCCCTCCCGTTTGAGAGCACCAGCGCGGATCTGTTCGAGTGCCAAGGCTACCAGTTCCTGGTATACGTGAACCGCAAGACCGGCTGGCCCTGTGTTGCCAAGATAGGACGCACCGCCACCTCCGCTGACGTAGTCCGTGCGTTCTGAGGCTGGTTCGCGGATCTCGGTGTCCCAGCTGTCCTGACGACTGATGGTGGTCCGCAGTTCACAGCGCAGCGTTTCTCTGCCTTCTGTCAGCGTTGGCAAGTCCGCCACGTCAGATCCAGTCCGCATTACCCACAATCGAATGGCCATGCAGAGGCGGCTGTCAAGGCCATCAAATCTCTCGTGTACAAGACCACCACCAACGGAGACATTGATGTCGATGCCTTCCGTCGTGGCTTATTGGAATGGCGTAACACTCCCCGTAGCTCCGGTCAGAGCCCAGCGCAGGCTCTGTTTGGCCGCCCCCTGTCGTCATTCGTGCTTGTCCACCGGACCAGTTTTGCCCCAGCGTGGCAAGAAACCGCTGACGAAATCGACAGTCATGCCTCTGCCCAGTCTGAATCAGCCAGTCAGCACTACAACCAGTCTGCCCGTTCTCTGCCTGCCCTCCACCTTGGTTGCCCTGTGGATCTACAAGATCCCCGCAGCAAGTTGTGGAACGCCCGCGGTACCATTGTCGCCATTGGGAGCCACCGCGACTACATGATCAAGCTTCCCAGTGGCCGAATGTACTGGCGAAACCGCCGCTTTCTTCGTCCTGTTGTCTTGCCCGTAGCACCTGCACAGCCGATGCCTGCTACCCCCATCACTCAGCCTGCCCCGCCAGTCCGGCGCTGTCAGCGAAGCCGCCAACACCCGTCTAGGCTGAATCTTTCGAACACTCGTGGCCAAACTTATGACTGCCTGTGCGTCTTTCTGTCTCGTGTTGAGCTCAGCTATGTTCGTATTCAGTTATCTCTATCTTCTTTGCCGTCCTTTCTAGTTGGTATTAGATGCCTTGTTGTCATCTCAGAAGGGGCGTGAGATACATGTATGTAAATGTAATTGTTATATTTCTATCTCAGAAGGGACGTGATGTATCATGCTAGCTACTCATGTATTGCGCATGTACTTCAAGTTATTATCACCCGTATAACGCGTATTGTTACGTTA